GATGCCTTTGAATTATGGTGCTGGCAAAGAATATTGAATACACCATGGAGTGCCAAAAGAACTAACAGGTCTGTCTTGGCAGCAATAGACCCAGAGTGCTTCTTGGAAGCGAGGATGGCGACACTTCATCTCACGTACTTTGGACATGCCATCAGGAGGGACCAATCCACGGAGAAGGACATCATGCTTGGTAAAGTAGAGGGTCAGCGAAAAAGATGAAGATCCTCAATAAGATAGACTGACACAGTGGCTGCAACAATGGGCTCAAGCATAACAACAATTCTGAGGATGGCACAGGACCTGGCAGTGTTTTGTTCTGTTGTTCATAGAGTCGCTGTGAGTCAGACCAACCTGACAGCACCTAACTACAACAACAATAACATCCAGAATTTTAAACAATTAACCAGAATAACATATAATAAACAATATCAGAGTACATTACACGTAATAAATGTATGTATCATTTATAGTGGTTATGTTCAAAAAGTTAGAAAAGAGAAGATATTCTATATTGTGTCACAATTTTGACTCCATGCTTTCTGTCAGCCAAAACAAAAAAGGAAATTTAAGTTTCATAATTCATAATGATTAATAGGAAAAATAAACCAATTACTTTATCAAGAAAATTATAAATATTTCTTAAAACTATGACTAGCAAGAGATTTCTCCTGAGGATACTCATAAAGAAGACCCTGCATAAAGCAACTTCTCATGTCTTCAGACAAATCTTTCTGTTTGATACAACTCTACATATCAAGTTTTTTTTTTAAACATAAGCCAATGATATCACACCTAGATATAGAAGAGTTTAGTAAACCAACTAGCATAGGAGGCCATAACAACAGGAAACAAATGGCCTGGACTATGTTTCTGATTGAATGAATGATGAATAAAGAGAATGGAGGCCAAATATATTTATAAATGAATACATGGATACAAAAATGGATGATAGGTGTTAAATATATTTTGCTTTGCACATGTCAAAACATGAAGAAAGGAAATAGTGCCTAAGGTGCACAAGTTTGATTTATATAAAGTTTACAAATCTTCCTTTTAGCAAGAAATGTCAACTGAATAAAACCCTGCTATGGCTTTTCTCAAAAAAACAAACCCATTGCTGTCAAGTCGATGCGGACTCATAGCGATCAGCTTTTGATCAACACTGCAAAACAGAGCTTATTTTTCTTGCCAAAGCAGCCACCGCCACTGACTTCTTATTTTTGTTATCAATAACAATAACATAGCAAGTCTTAAACCTCAAAAAAATAAGAACCAGAATGAGCTAATTGTCTGGATATGTTACAGTTTACATCTGTAAAGCCATCAGTTTTCTGCTTTAATCTTAGTATTTGAATAAATCTCTCTCATAATCAAACTTCACATGCCCGAAATTGCTGTAAATGGAGTCAACCTTTAGCATTTATTACAGACTAGCAGTCATCATCATGAATGTCTTTACTACATTTTACAGCAATTACAGCAATAGACTGCAGAATGAATAAATGAAGATGGTGTCTTTGCTTTTAGTGGTTCGTGCTCTATCAAGTTTTAAGAGTAATTTTATTGGTTGATGCCTTCAAATTTGGATATGTGAATTTATGTAAGAGTAGGTGTTAAATCCAAATAAATAAACTCACGTGAGCATCTGTGGATCATTTCTGTTAGCAAAGCATAAAAGTCTTTTAAGATCTTTTGTAACTGATAAGAGGTTGTGTTTTGTTTTTCATATATTTTTCATTTGTTTGGTTGGTTGGTTTGTTCCTTTATTTGTTTGTATTGTTTTTACGTTTGTTGTTGTTCCTGAGCAGGTAAAATTGTTCCAGGCATGAAAGGTATCATAAAACTGTCACTCCCACAGACACAAGTTTGAGGTCATTATTCAGGTTTCATCTTACCTCACTGCCCATTTCCAATAGATTAATAAACTCTACTCTCCTGCCTTCCCAGTGTTTGTTGCATCTGCCCTGTTCTTCAACTCCCCAATGCCCTGGTCAATGACTTACTCATGTATTTTGACACTGGTCACTGAAATTTTATGTGCATCTAGTCTCTCCCTTCTCTGTTATGTATTATATACTAATGGTTATATATAACACACTAATACTTATTTTATTTTACTTGCTCCAAAGACTTCAAATCTTCAAATTACTTCAGTTTGCCATTTGAGAGCTTCAGTAATCATATCCTGTATCATACTTCCTGACTTAACTTTACATTGTGTAAAAAACAGCCAACTGCCTAGCTCCTAGCAAAAAGTCAACAACTTCTAGTCTTCCTCCCAAAGCTTGTTCCTTTTTGGTTAGACCAGATAGTCCCTGAACATCATTTCCTTTTCTCATATCATTTGCTTGTTCTGAGATGATTTTTGTAATACTTTGTACTCCATGACGGCAAATTCAAGGGCCACATTCTGCATGACCCTTTCCCTGATTTCTCTTCTTTCCCCTCACAGAATTAACATTTAGTGTTTAGATGTCATTAGGCATTTAATCATCTTCTGTATTGTAGTGCTATTTTCTCTTTTATATGTTTCTTTTCAAAATATTCGACTATTTTAAGTGTCTAAAAGGGGTATCTTCCATGGTTCCTAACAGTCATAGGGAAATAAGTAGTAATTGTCAAATAAATGGTTGTTGAAACCAACTAAATAACATTAGATATTTTATATCGTATTACTGTGTATAAAATGCTATATAAAATTAAATATGATAAGCAAATATATAGAAACCAAAGTAATTAGTTGTTAGCAGGGGCGGGAGGGAGGTGTGGAGTGGGGATTTTTGCTTAGAATGCATTGAATGTACGTTAGTGGTGCAGCATAATTTGGAAAAAGATACCAAGAATGGCTGCACATCTTGAAGAATGTAATCAATGTCACTGAAGTGCACATGTAGAAATCAATTAAATGTTGTATGTTTTGTTGTATGTATATCACTATAATAAAAACATTAAATATGTTATTCTAAATGGAGCTGAATAATTATAAATTAATTCCTTGTTAAATTATACCTCCTGGGAATATTATGTACCTTACAAATACATTGGTTTCAACCGTTCTAAACACCTGGGCTAGAAATGCTTCAGGGAGCCCTAAAACTAACCTAAAGCAATTCCATCTTTGTAGTCATAATTCAGATTTCACAAGTGCAATGACCGTTGATTTGTAACAAAATCAACTGTTCTAAAATAATATCCCTTTGGAAACTGAAGATTTGATAAAATGAATTGCATTGTACTGAAACTTTTGGAGATTCTATGCCCAAATAAGAACATTTGTCTTATTCAACTATTGTTCCTGCCACCACTAACATAAGAGAACTTAAAAAAATGTTCTACATAATTTTATGAGTGCCATGGAAAGTCAAATACAGTTATTGAAATACTTTATTATTATTTTATAAAAAATCTTTACCAGATGTCCATAACTACCTTCAGAACTGTGATATGACAATTTAAGTGATCTACAGATTATAACTGTAATCAATCTGGCATTACTAGCCACATATTCAGGTTGTCTCAGTATTAATTATGCTATACAAACTCTAATATCAGGTTTTATGATTACATATTAGTTAAATTAATTTAAATTCAAATCGTAAGTGCAGAATGATTACTGTGTGCCAGGCAATGCATTGTGAATATAACCAAAATTATACAAGGAACTGAAACTCTAATGACAGGGACAATGAATTATATTCCAAAGTAATTTCTAAAATAGAAGTCTTCACAAATAACACTGAGGGGTAAGCAAATTCACAATAGGTGAAATGGAGGCAAACTGTCCAAAAGGATGACTTTATAGAGATTTGACATTTAACCTGGAACAACTGTACAGCTAAGTAGGTTTTTTGTCAGAAAAAGGAAAAAGGGGGTTTAACAGAAGAAGCAGCAAAGTATAAGCTAAACTCTCTGTAAGTACAAAAGATCATGTTGGTTTGAGAAGCAAGAAGTTCAATGAATTAGATTGGGTAGAATTAGAGAGGGATCATTATGGAAAATAAGATAGACAAGAATGATGAGATAAAGAAAAGCAGAGGAATGGCATAATTAAGGATGTGTTTGTTTTAAAAGCATAAATTTAGAGTCAGTGGACAAAACTGACTCAGGGCAAGAAAACAAAGTCAAACATTTGAGTTAAGGCAATGTTAGTCAAGGAGAGAAAGGCAAGTGTCTGGACAAAGATGGCAGCAGAATGAAGAAAAGAGGTTAAATTAAAAAAACATTGTGGAAGCAGAACTAATAGGACTTAAACATGTTGTGTGAGGAAGCTGAGAGGGGATTTAAGGGAACTTTTGGCTTTTAAAGGATAGTGAATAAGAAAAGGCAAGTAAATATGGCAGTTTTGTTGTCTGAGCAAAGGTGAATTTGTGGAAAAAATGAAGGTTGTAATAAACTGCTTTCTGAGGGACTGATATGTATTACAAGAAAAGAAAAAATGCAAAAATCTGATATTCACTCATTTGCCAATTATTTCCTAGGATTAAATTGATTAAAGAAAGTCATCTGGTTAATCTATAAGATGGATATATGTCTTTCTTGCTTATGGGACAATGTTTTATATCATTAACAAAATTCAAGTCTGATGTAAATAAATGAGAATATATAAGAAATTAAATCTTATTTTATGATTACCTTAAAAATGAAAAGAAAGAAATGAATATAGTAAGTAAGCATTAAAATCACAGTCTCTCCAGGCTTTCCATGACCATGAGTTTATATTACTTATAATTATGATTTATTTCCTTGAGTACTGTAAGAGGCAAGAAGCCCCTTTTACTTCCAGACAGCAGTGGTGAAGCAAATATTTCCATTTGTGTGAACTCTTCTGTTTCTGCACTCATTAGTGCATGTAATTAGTAGAAACCAAGCATTGGCTGACTTGATTGACATGTGTTTATTTTCTCTTCCACACATTGTGAGAACACAGCATGTGAGTAATGAAAGAAGAGACGTAATTTGCTACTATGGATAGCATGGCTATTTATTATCATCATACTTACAACTGGACCGGGTGGGCCTTGGGGACCTTCCCCTCCTTTCAGACCTGCTGCACCCTGAGGAAAGTGAGGGGAAAAAAAAAGAATTGATGTGAATTGAATATAAATATGGGGAAATGTATGATTGATAAAATGAAGCTGTCAGGAAGTGTTCTCAAACACAAATACATATTGCTATATATATAGATATTATGATAAATGCATATGCACACATTTTTCTTTACTCGTGAATTTTTATTTAGTTAAGGTCTGAGAAAAATGCTTCTAATAAGCAATTTTATTCACATATTTTATCTATATATTGATTGTACCTGAGCTCCAGGAAGACCTCTTTCACCTGGGAAACCCCGTAGTCCTGCTGGTCCATCTTTCCCTGAGACACCTTGAGGACCTGGGTCACCCTAAAGAAAATGCATCCATCAACAGAGAGTAATTTCTACATATGTTTCTACAAATAAAATTGTGATTACCTCTAACTTACTAGAAGTAAAGCCCAAATATCAGTTAATGATGAGAATATTGTGTGGAATGTCATACATATTAAAATGAACTAACCACTATCTACATTTAGGGATGTACACAAATATATGGTTTTATGGCCAATGAAACTAACTGTCTCATGTTGTTCAGTAATGCCTTGCAGTACAATAAACTCACACAGAATGTTTTTCTGACGTATCTTTCTTACACTCATTTAACTACCATTTCAAAACTTAGAGAATCCATGGGCAAGTGGTCAGAAGCTACAGGGAAAAGTGAATGGATGTTTTCAGCCCAGCAAATTCCTTGAGTATGTTTACCTTTGCACCTTCTTTTCCTGCTGCACCAGGAAGACCTTGCTCACCAGGAGGACCAGGAGGGCCAGGATGCCCACGTTCACCTATTGGACCAGTCTCACCAGTAGGACCCTAAATATTTTAAGGGAAATCTCATTACATTGCTTTGTTTTATTAGCAAAGATAACACAAGCTCAAGATAAATATCATTCCCTTTCACAAAAGTGTGTCATTCTCATTTATTCTCATGATTGCCTACAAAACACTATATAAACTCTGAAAGTAGCATATCTAGAAGGAGTATGAAGAGATTATATGGAACATTGGATAATATTTGAGTATACAGGAGAAATAACTGGATAAAGTCCAAAGGGATGTTTTATTTAATATCAGAGTCACTTTGAATTTAAAAACTGTGTTGATTAGTTACATCCCCATTCCACATTTTTATATAAGGTATCAAATCAGCTTAGGAGTAAAGAGGCATCGGTACCACACTGGTAGCTACTCAACAAATTTCTGCTTGATTAGAAGCCTAGGTCCCCAGAAGCCCAAATGACCAAAGTAGTTCTCCTTGGAATTTCCATGGACTGCAGACCTCCCTTCTGTTAATCTATATTCATTTGACAAAGCCCAGGGAATGTGCCAGGGGGACCCTGAAGGCAGTGTGTTTAGACTGGCAGTTCTTTCAGGCTGAAGCCTATAACAAAGAGCTAGCTGCCTTAAATTGCTGAAAATGCCAAAGTGAAAAATGCCAGGTCATTTACGTGTCCCTTGAGTGGTGCTGTTTTGTGGTGCTAGAGTTTAATAAGCTTTCAAGGTTAAATAGAGAATGGTGAGCAGTTGCTCTCTATCTCTACTTAGAATAAAGCAAAATGAAAGATTTAAGTTAAAGATATATAAAGAGAAACTTTCCAGATCCTAAGGCTGTTAAACAGTGGAATGTGTTACTGAAGTTGCTCATGGAACATCATTCTCTGACATTTATCTAACAACACAATAGATTCTAACCTCTTGGTGATGGACAGAGAACACATCTGGCCCAAATTTGGGTGGACGTTTCTAGTTCTAACCCATTTAATATGTAATTGCTGAAAATCCCCAGATTATCATTAATGTGTACATATTTCACCCCAAAGGAATTTTTCTTAATAACTGAACACCAAAATTTTAACAGTAAAGAATATAAAATTGATCCTAATTCAATGGTTATCACCACTGAGACAAAAAAAAAAGATACATATGACCGTACAAAGAAAATGATGATGAATATCAAGTATTACAATCAATATTATTCCCATTAAACCTCTTCCTTTGTGCTAATATGAAAGTATGGTTACATTTGAAGCAGGAGTTGGATTCTTTTTAAAGTAACAATAAAGAATAATTATTCAATGAAGATTCATAGTAAATAAAATACCTGCTACTTTTATATCTTAAATAGGAGAATAAAAGAGAACAGGTCTCAGAAGCTTTAAATGCCTGCATTAGACAGAGTTGAATTTTTTTAAAGGCGTTGAGGTCTCAAAATTTCCTCAGTTAATCTCCATGATGTTTACACATTCTAGTTAGATTCTATTCCTTTTCTGTTCAAGGACATTAAATGTAAAATGAAATGTACTTTCTGTGAAATTTTTTCTTAGAAAATAATTGCAAAGTCATTTGAGATTTTTTTGAAAAGGTATTTTTTTGTAGGAAACTTTCTAATTATTGTGGGAATATTTTTAATTAAAGCGATTAAACAATAAAAAGGATGCATTCAGCACAGAAAAGTTTGCATATGTTCTGCATACTATGGTTCCTTTATAAACGGGCAGAAAGTTAACATTTCCCTAGGCTCAGGATTAAATTCTGAAATAAAATGATCAACCAATCCTAGATTCTTTATTTTTGCTTCTGTTACACATATTCCTAGAAAGACGATGCAGTTTTTATTTCTCTGGTTGTGTATCTAGATGTGTGTGCTTGTGTATGTGTGTGAGAGAGACAGTTATAAAACAGTTGAGAAGTAATTACGCACTGAGAAAAGACTATTTAAAACAATTAAATAATTAAAACATTTATTCAACTGCTCTTGCTCTTTTGCTATAATTTGTTACTAACGGGGATAAAATTCCAGCTGAGTAAACTAAATATGCGCCTGCCCATTCAATATGTTTTGCTAGAGAATAAAAATAAGATTTTCTATTCCCACGAAATATTCTTTATAACTAATACTTTCGTTCAGAGTACTGAACCAATTTTTAAAACTTTCTGTCATCTAGGCTGTAAAATCTCTCTGCCATTATTTCACATATACTCAAAAAATACAAATATTTTATTCCTGTTGTAAATCATTTTTATGAAGATAGAAATCTTTAGAAACATGTAATATTAAATATTAAAGTTTTAGAATGTTGTGGTACCTGAAAATTTATTTTATACTCTTAATATATTATACTTCCAAATCTAATTTATACTCAGATACCTGAAGTCATTTCACAATTTAAAATTCTGAGAAGAGATGATGGTCAACCCATTTAATAAAGTATTTTTTTGTTATATTTTGTTTTTAACAGAACTTGCCATGGTCTGGTTTTAGTGTTAGATTCATTGTGAATTTTCTGATTTATTTTTATTATTTATTTTACTTTCTTTTTATTCAGACAAAAAATCGAGAAGTTGCCTTAGCTAAGTATAATCTGCTGAATTTCATTTGATGTAGACAAGTTGCATATATAAATCCTTTCTGAAATATAAAAATAAGTCATATTAAGTCATAATAAAGTGGGCATATATAACATAATAGAGAAATAGAGAATAGATCTTGTTATGGAAACAAAGTAAAGGAACTTGCCTGTGGCCCAACAACACCCCCTGGTCCAGGAGGGCCAGTCTTGCCTTGAAATCCCTAAGGAACAAAAACATAATCTGTAACAGCTATGCATGCCATAAATCATTAATAAATATTCTGTGAGATAATTAAATAAGTCATGCTAAAAGAAAGTCACCTTTCAGCTAACACATTTATTTTTAAATGTCTAAATATGAGTAATTATATTCCAGTTCTCTTTAAAATTCCAAATTTGCCATCTTTTCCATTTCACTTTCAACTTCAATGATTATATTCCAGAAATTTGAAAAAGAAAATAATAGGGTGAAGCTGGAGCAAAAACATGTTCTTAGCCCTGTTCCATTGGGCAAAGTATAGAACTTTAACCTACAGTGCTTATGAATGAAATGATGATTTGGGCCATCTCTGAAATAGTCCACTAATTTTGTATCCAGAGATAACTATAGAGTTGGATATCAATGCATTCATCTTTATTGCATTCCAACAATCTCATAAAATAAAACAAGATATAAAAAGAAATGTATAAGGGGAGTGTCTTGCATGATGAGTAATCATTTCAGCATTTTATCAGAATATTCTTTCTTAAAACCCAAAAGAATATAGTTACAAATGCACCTTGCAAATAATACAGTCATTAAAATGAAATCTAGTAGATGTGAGCAGTGTGTACATGCTACACAAAGCCTTTGGACACACATTCTGGTATCTGTATTGCTCTATGCTCTTGGGTTATTCATTCTGCATCATTGTATTACGATTGACAAATTTCTTTCTCATGTGAGTTAAGTTGCATTTAACAGTTTAAGAAATAAATACAAAATACTGAGAGGGAGGAAAAAACCTTCCAAAGAACTGAATTACAGAAAATAGCTTTTGTAAAATCTTGCACTGTACCATCTAATCAGCCTGAACTAATAAGATTAGAAAGCAAAGTGCAGATACTAATAGCCAGATTTTTGTGTCTCAACCATACAGATAACTATGATTGAATTATTTTTCCACTAACAAAATTTTGTAACCATTATACAAAAAAAAGCATTTGTAATTATTGTAATTGATGTTACAGGAAAGAAAACCAATTGCTTCTGTTTTATAAACCCAGTAATTCTTAAGAGCACCAGGTTTTCACTTGAGCTATCATTACCTATAGCACACAACCAATCAACTGAGAGGGAAGATATCATAAAATGCATTTAGCATTTTGAAAACAAAATTGTAACTTGACTGCTTAATTTTAACTTTTCAACTGGTTACTTTGAAAAATTGATAAACTGCTTCTATCTGTCTGTCTGTCTATTCTATCATCTATCTATCCATCCACCCACTCACCCACCTACCCATCCATCCATCTACATATATACATACACATACACACATATACACGTGAATGTTTAGAGTGGATCTATCTATCATCTATCTACATATACAAAATATGTATACTATTTATTATGTATTTAATCTGAGTGCTAACAGTTCACAGAGTTTAGTTCTACACCCTACCTACCTACTCCCTGGATTATATCATCAATTTCCATGACCACAATTGCCATCTACATGCCAATGACCCCTCAACTATTTATCAACCTC